CTACTACTACTACTACTTATACTACCGACTCCATACTACTCCTACTTTTGCTACTAGCTGAAATTCCCCGCAACGTTGCGACACGTTGCGGCTACTTCTGCTGCCGCTACTGCTACTGCGACGACGACTTCTGCTGCCGCTACTGCTATGCCGGCATCGTCGCAGTCGCTATCGTTCGTCGCAGCAGTCGTCAGAGTCGCAGCAGTCGTCGTCGTCGTCGTCGTCGTCGTCGTCGTCGTCGTCGTCGTAATAAGAATAGAAGTCTTGGGGTGGTGGTGGTGGTGGTGGTGGTGGTGGTGGTGGTGGTGGTTGCATAGCAGTACAAGTAACAGCAGTATTAGTCGTCAAGTCGTCGTCAAAGTAGCAGAATGCTACCCTTTGTCCTGTGCAATGGTGCGGCGTTTCCTACTCGTGAAGTGACCCAGCTCGATAAGTCGCACCTGCCTTTTCAAGACGCCCGAGAAGTGAAAGGCACTGGGGAGCGTGCTGTACCTTCGGCTCGATTTATGAAGCCTCTGATGACATCTTCACCTCGCAGGCTGGCTTTCAACAGTCAGAGCAAGGTCTCTGCGGCCCGGCAACATCTCCGCTGGATTGAAACTCATTGCCCGGGCAACAGAACCAAATGCTGCACTTGGCCGTTGTTGCGTGAGAACACAATGGCCAGCAGATCAGACACGACTGTAGAAACTATAGTTAAGGGTGCTGCACAGCCACATGAGCAGGATCAGGATCAGGACCACCTACAGTCGGAAGAACATGGATGTGAGGACTTAGGATTGAGCAAGATGGCTAAGGACAGAATCTCAACTGGCGAAGAAGGCATAGCCCGGCACGTCTAGGAGGATAGGAACCTTCAATCTCCCTCCGAACTAAGCTAGTGTATGTCGATCATTCGTGCAACCTCAGCAGTCTCGGTCCGGCAGGAAGGAAGATGTCGGGGATACACGACAAACCCAGAACATTTTTTCCGCCGAATCCCCGAAGAGCTAGTTGAAACAGCCAGCACATCTCGACCCGAGAAGTTCAGCTCTTGACCATCAGGCACTGAGCGAGAACGCCAGGCCAGGACTCCCACCTGAGTCAGATCCTTGTAGCCCCATCATGAGATGAGGCTCAAAATTTCATGGCGCAGCATCTCAACATCGTCAACCCTGCTCCCTTTTCAATCTATGCGACTTGGGACCTTGAGTGCTGGCATCTACGACCCCCGGGTCACAAGAAAAGTGAGCCTTCACGCATCACCTGCTCCCTCCAAAACTGCAACTACCAGTCTAGTATCGAAGTGCAGGAAGCCGTAAGATCATGGCCACTCCGCTCGAGGCCAGAAGCTTACTTCTCGGGTCCGAAGATTCCAGGCCTCGAGCTCAAAAAGGTACCGTCTCAAAGAGCTATAGAAATCCATTCCGGCCTTAGCTAGCCTTTCCAAAAAGCGAACATCCTCTTTGAACAGCGCCTGAATGCGATCCGAACCAACACGTTTGGTGATGGACCGGCATCTCAGCAAACGAAATATAGGAAACGGAAGCCTGGCTTGTGGGGGCAAAGGAAAGTGCCAGCATTCGTAAGAAACGCGGAGGATCACTGAGGGAACTGCCGCCCAATACTTCCGGCACCTGATCGCTCCAGCCACACTTCAGAGCAAAGCACAATCGCATGCAAAGTGATGGCTCTGGATATTCGGCAGCCAATTCCTGGGATGTAGACTCGTCGATCTGATCGTCGCCTGTCATGCTGGGACCGCATGTCTGAAGCCCCCCCGTTGCAATGCAGCAGTGGCATGTGGACCATACTGTACAGGTGCGGGATGGTGTGTGCTTGGCTTGCCGGGGTTCCCATGCTCGGCTACTTGCCTGACAGAAACGAGCGCAGTTCCCCCAAGAATCTGCCGCTTGGAAGGCCCTGTGAACAGGCCAAGGTGGCTCAGTGCATAGGAGTACTGGGACTTAAAATCGTCTGTGCTCACATTGCACTCCTGGCGAAGACACAGAGAGGGCAGCGGCTTTCAGGTCGCTGCAGCAATGGTTTTTGCGTGTTTTGTCCTGCCCCACTTCCATGAAATTGAAGAAGCACGCGCATCTTCCATACTTCCTGGGCCACTTTCAAGCCCATGTTCACAACCGTGTGTCAAATCCTACAATCCTCACAGTCAATCTGCAAAACTGAGAGCTGCACAGTTTGTCCTCAGATGCTTGGGTCAAGCACTTTATCTCCAGTCTGGAGTGCACATGCTGCCGATCGTGAGTTCAAGCACATGATTTGGACCCGCAGCATTGGTGATCACCTTCGTAAGAGCTATTCCTCACCGACGGTAACAGCGAGGGCACGGAAGGCGATGACTGTTTTGAGATGATGGTGACGACGATGATGATGGTGCTGATGGAGCGCTCCTGCTGGAGAGGTGGCGATGGCTTCGTGATAAACGATTCAAGTCAGTCAGACAAGAACCAGCCCTGATGACAACGATGACAACACAGGTGTGATATCGATACGCTTGAACGCTGGTGACGATTATCATGACCTAGATGATGCCGGTGACGGCAGCAACAACGACAGCCAAGCTGTGACAGACGAATGAGGACCAGCCAAACCAGGGACAAGAAGGGTGCCAGGACGACAACAAACAAAACAACCTCCATGACCAGAGCCAATTGAAGTACACTCCCAGCATTCGCACCAATGCGACCAGCGCCTGAACCATCATCATCATCATCATCATCACCATCATCATCATTATCATCATCATCACGTCGTTATCAACTCACCATCATCACAGCATCATAATGATCAGCCCCTGCAGCATCATTTAGCATCACCATCAGCATCGTCATGATCATCACCACCATGATAATCATCATCACCAGCATCAACATCTTCCTTAACCGAACGGCATCACCCGTCGATGCTAGGGTGCTTCATTACAGTCTCGTCGTCACCATCAACATCACCTTCATCAATAACAATAACACCACCAACAGCAGCAACTACAGCAGAAGCAACAGCATAGAGTACACAATAGCATCACCGTCATCAATATCAGCCACCCGCGCACTGCGATTGCCACTGCCACCACGGTGGTTAAGACTCAACGCTGCCGCGACGACAGGACGACGACAAGTGTGACTCCTACCAATCCTACTGCTACACCCAGTCCTGCTCCTCCTCCTCCTCCTCCTCCCCCTGCTCGTACTCCTATTCTTCCTCTATCTCCTACTCCTACGCAAATCTACATTACTAGCACCACAGAGATGGTACCAGATGGTACATAAAAGCCTTAGGCTCGCCCCTCCGCTATACACCAGCGGGGACAACAGAGTGATGCGGTTTCTTCGGCATTAACACCGTCACCTTCATGATTCACTAGCAGCATCAACAACATGACCTTAGACATCACCATCATCCGAATCATCATCGCCATTTCATGACTATCGTCGTCATCGTCATCGTCGTCGTCACCATCATCATATCAGAACAATCTTCAAACAAATCATATTAAAACACGCCTATGCCTGCGCAGTCACAGAATCACATCTTTGGTCAGCCGGCGTTTGAACAATTTTGACAAGAGTCGTCGTCGTTGGAGACCTGAAAGTCTTTTTGCCTCGGTGCATCGGAGACAGCTGAAAAAGGAGGCTTCCGGCATGGCGACTAGTATGACTAGTTCAGCATGCCTGCGAGTAGATCGGGTAATCACTGATTGAGGCAGGGCAGCAACAGCATACTAATGCCCGACTGTCTTCCAAGCATGTGAGCATGTCACGTTTGATGCCTTGGACGACAGAATGCAGTACTGAGCCGACGGCTTGTCCACGAGACAGCCCAGGAGTTTGCCGGCGGCTGCTGCAATGTCGGACATGCAGGTCGACCTGCTGCCGGGCAGGGCTGTCGCAGCACCAGGAAAGTGGCACGAGCTCTGGCACATCACAGCCCAGGCCTGTCATGACCAGCGCCTTCAGAAGGCAAGGCCTGCCTAGGAGGCGTGGCTTAAACTGTTCGAAAGAGGTTTCAAAAAAGTTTGGTGTTTCTGTGGGCCTGTGATCACGCTTCCTGCCGTTCAAACGTACGTACGAGTAGAACGTAATCGCCCCCCTCCGATCACGCAACTTTGAGCTTCATCGCAAGTCTGCACTACCGCGACATTCGCCGGGTGCATGGGCTGTCGCCATCTGGCTTACAATTGCAAGAACTTGTGCCAAACACTAACCACCCAGTAGTTCTTGAACACTACTGTCATGCTGCTTCAACACTGCCTCCGACAATCCAAACCTGAAGAAGTGCTAAACTCTCAAAGCCAAGACGCATGTCGGGACCATGCGACATGGAACCCATGGCTATGTTGTTGCAATGTGGGGAAAGATCCGCTTTTTGACAAGCACATCCAGGCTTACAGGTAGCGGCTGCGGGGCTGACGAATTAAGCTACGATGTCGAATACTCTTGTTGACAGATGAGCTATTGCTGTGGGGTTGACGGTCTCGGACATGCTATGAAGGCCCATCTCCTGTCCTTGAGCTGCTCAGGGAGGCAAACGGTTTGGGGTCTGGAGGTTTGCACAGAAGCCAAGCGCAGCTGCAGCTTAGTGCAAACACCCACGAACAAGACAAGGCCTCCGTAACTTCGGCATGGGTCAAGACCTGTCAGGATCGTCTCAGGAACGGATCCAAGCTCCCATATACCAAAGGCACAGGACAGGGCCTGGCAGATCTTGCACCGAAACCGCTGAGAGAGCCCCTGCAGCAAGCTTTGATCATGCTGCAATCATGCACGCAAGAGATGCCCAACGGACAGCATGCTTCGAAGGCCGACCTTTTCTCCACTTGAGCACATTGTTTGGGGACATACAATGTACAACATGAGTTGCATAGCTTCAATGAGGGCAACTAGCAGTAAGCGCGACATCCGGCTCCATCCCGCTGGGTGCCTTCGCGCAAGGCTCCGCGTCGCCAACAGGTTCCACCTTCGTCAGCGATGAGCTTCGGGGACCACACGGTCGTGGGCTCAGAGCTTTGTCTTCCTTGTCTTCGTGCCTGTGGAGCTCGGCCGGCGGCGCCGATGAGAGGCTGAGGGCCTCGTCATTTACGGTGTGATGCTCCAAGTTTCGCGTGTTTTGCCTCCTGCCCCGGCCTGAATACTTTGCAAGCCAAGCTCTATTGTCGTCTGACTACAGCGATTTGCAAGTGTTCGGCGGCAAATTCACAATGGAAACATCGTCGACAGCAACTATGGAACGTAGCAAACTAGTGCCAAGGCCCAATGGACCATAACCCTGAGCCTGGCAGACTCCAATGTCAATCCCGCGTGATTGCAAAATCCAATTCCCAGAACTTAATTAAAACCCCACTCCGTAGTTGTAGAATCCAAGCTGTCGGAGCGGAAAAACTGTAACAACAATTTCGCTTAGATGCAAGCTCAATTGGCCTGAAAGAAGACCTCGCTGGCCCAAGCAAACCCAGATTCGAACTCTGGCTTGGCTTCAGTAGAAGACTTCTGGGGCCTCTAGTATTGGCGGCTGGCTTTCAGGCTCATGGGGGCTCTTATTTCGGAGGCTGGGGCTCGGGTGGGTGTTTCTTAATATGAAGTGTTACCGAACACGAAAGGGATTGAGTTGCCAGCACCAAGATACAGCCCTCAGCTGTGACACTTCTTCAATTTATCATCGCATCTCTAAACAATAGAATTAATTACAAGCTTAGGCTTAGGCCCTGTGCACAATCGACCTCACAGCGCTACGGCAAGACCAAGCAAGGCTTCCAACAGCCTTTTTTGCCGCACGCTGCACCACCGCCCTGGAACCCAATGAGCTTCGCCTCCTTTCTTGCTGCCGTCTGAAAGGAACCGCTCCAAGACGGCAGCCAAGGGATCTGCTGTCAGCGTATGTAGCTACAGGTATGGATCCTCAGACGCCTGGCAGAGGCAGCAATCACCGAGTGCAAGCTGTTGTGTGCTGTGTTCGTGCCGTTGCTTGTGAGGTTGTTTTAAGTCTGGGTGAACAGTCCTGCTGAAACCTGTCGAAAAGACACCGACCTGCCAGAAAGCGCTGAGCATACTCGAACCAGCTTCTTTGATCGGACTGTGGCACGCTCAGCATGCATGCCAAGGACCGACTCAAAGCGATCGAGAACTTCCCGACCACAAGACCCACCCACCCACCACCGGAGGAAATGGTTATACCATCACGACATCAGTCCAAGTACTTCTTGCAGACTGTGCTTCAAAGACTTCTCACGCACAAACAGACTTGCCCAAATGCACCTGGTCTAGAACAGCCATGGAGTCTGTCCCCACCTGCACGCAGACTGATTTTATCCGGCGAGTTTCCAAACCTTGCCGCCACGTGCCTGCACAGCGCTTGTGCTTGTAGGCTCAGCCGCGGGAACGGCTTGGAGCTCGGTGCCGGAGCCATCGGAGCCATGCGAGCCATGGGAGCCGGAGTCGCTGTCCGCACCAGCCTCCAGATCTCAGAGGCCCCCGAGGCTTCTCACGGTGGCGCCCTCGGGCTTGCGCCCTGCTTGCGCCGCAGCCTCCTCCTGGGCGCCCAGTGCCCGGAGCAGCTCCAGGTCCGCGGCCTCCGCGTCCGAATCTCATCACTTCAAGAAGGCTGCAACTTGACAATGCCCCAAGATCTGAGGCTTGAACCCTTCAAGACTCCCTGAACTCGCGGAAGCTGGGGGGGTAGAAGGGGGGCTTCGGCCTCCCTGCCGCAAGCTTCTTCACTATGTCTGGCCTTCGAACTCTCGGTGGTGACGATGTCTGCTTCCTGGAAGGGGGCAGCCGTTGGCAGAAGCAAATGGTACGCTGCACCACCTTCCCTAGTTCAACATGCGAAACACTGCGGACAGCCCTGGCCGCCCAACCCTGGAGGGAAGCCCTCCGCTCCACCCCCTGGGCCGGAAGAGGTCCTGCCACCGCTGCTCGCAGAAGATTCGTGCGTCCTCGCGAAGGGCCATGGGAAAGGACCTCAACGTATATCTACCTGTTCTGCTAGAGGTCGTCGTAGTCGTAGTCGTAGTCGCAGTCGTAGTTGTAGTCGTAGTAGTCGTAGGAACAGTAGTAGAGGTGGTAGTGGTAGTAGTGGTAGTAGTAGAGTAATTATGGGGGAAGAAGTTCTTCTTCCATAGAAGTATAATCTTGGTATGTTTAATATGTCTTGGCGACTTCAGCGGTTTTGATTCGAGGGCTACTTAGCGTTTTCGTGCAGAGCCGGGGTTTATGGCCGAGTGCCGTGTGAGAAACTGACAGCATGTCACTGCTACCTCACTTTGCTTGATATCGTAGAACATGCTGCCAAACACTTTTGGCTGCCTTGCCCTGGGATGCTTGCTGAAGTTCTCATGGGTTATGTTCTGCAGGGACTGCTATGAGGCGCAGGGCGGCAAGCTCGGAGCTATGAGCGCGGAAGGAAGTTTCTGCATTTCTAGTTGACTCTACTTGTTTGCTCAACCCGGACTCCGGTCACCCTCTAACCGCCCTCATCCCAAGCCGGAGCCGCCACCCTCTCCAGCTCCATGAAGCACAGACAGACAATGAAATCTGGACATCGTGGTATCGCAAAGTGCTGTGACATTGTACAGGCTTTCAGTTTCGCACGAAGTAACCCAGGTTCTGCCTTGAGGAAGTTCACAATGCTAGTCAACTCAGTTTCCGTAACCACAGCAGTGCCACAGCACACCGCAGCACCGGGCAACATCGCATCCCCACTTTCCGGTCGTTGGCACAGTTAGCTGCCACTGCGGTCGGTCGTACACACCACTCTCGGTACAACGATCCAGCCCGCACGGCAAGACGCCAAGACGGCAAGTACAGTAATGCTTGCAAGTCGTCGCCGCTGATCGCCGCTGCGCTCCTCGTCAGGGGTCTCGTCCAGGACATCGTCGCAGTCTGCGCAGTCCTGCTCTCCCCTTGTTGTTTCAATGCTGACCTGTCATCGGAGACCCCATGCATGTCTTCTTTCTCTCAAGACTGCATGGCGAGTCCTCTCCTGTCTCGAAACATCGATCAGTGCAGATCTCCGAACACCACCATCACTATAACCTCTCGGAGATTCTTGGAGTACTCTTGACACAAACGGGCCGACAAACGGGTCAGCACCCACAAACACCATGGCCGCAGGTCCTCTTCGTGATCCACGTCGTCATGCAGCTGCTCAGGTTTCTCTGGTCGGGGCACCTGCAACAGGGCCTTTCTGTGAGGGCACAATGGCCTTTCATCTTCTTTCTGGTCGATGCATGTAAGCATGTAAGATCCCTTCGTTTGTACCAAAGAGAAGCTGTGCGCCCTTCGTCGCTTCGTATCTGTGTCGCGCTGCGGGCCTCCAACTCAGGCAGAGGCTGGGTCCGAGAGATCCAGTTGCTGCCATCAGCTTCTTTAACCTCACGAGCAAGAGGGGTATTGCCACAGCGACGAACGTGATCTCAACAACAAACTACTGGTAGGATCTGCAAGTAGCTGTTGCTGTGTGAAGGCGGGTCAGAGGTTTCGGTGTTCTGCAGCCCATGGGCGAGGCGCTATGCAAAACTTACCAGCCGAGAAAGACTGAACACTAAGAAACGCAGCAGGCCTTCAATGTCGAAAGTTTCAATGCCTCGAGCACGTCCTGGTGGGATTTCATACTCATGAAACGTGTACCTACTCACAGCTGACGAAGCAGTCAGGTGGGCAGGTCGAAACTTGCATCTGCATGAAGTCTGCAAGGCTCCAGGAGCCTCTCACCTAGGAGAGAACAGCAAAGTCCAAAGTCAGGTCGTTGCCTCCTTAAAGCTTGCTTGGGTCCTGCTCGGAAGCACGGTGCACGTCGGCAATGCGGGGACAAGACCTTCTTGCCAAGGGCACTGCGCCCAGAAGCGCTGCATGAACCACTGGAACCACCATAAGCAACCCGGCTTTCCGCACGCTGCCCACGCTGCCACCACTTCGCAACACGTCATCCGAAAAGATTGTCATCAAGAAGCAACTCTGAATACTTATGGAAACCCGACTAAAGAGAATTCATGAGGCTTCATGCTTGCACAGGCGCATGATCCATCGAAGCTCAAGCCAGCCGGGCTCTGGTTCTGCCGCAATCTTCTCCTGAAAGAACCAGTCCTTCTTCAAATTGCGATCCTGATCTCAAGGAAACTTGCGACAGGAAGGTTGACTTCTGCTTCGAGTGTAGGTTCAGTGCTGCTGCGATTGTGGGTAAAGCTTACGAGGCCACAGCGGAACTCAAGTTCAGTTACTCCGATGAAATCACGCCCTGAGCATCAGCAGTACTGCAAAGTTGCTCAGCATAGTGAATGCTGCAAGTCTTCGAAGCAGGACAACTACAGGTAGCGGAGGAAGTTGAAAGCTCAAGAGCGTGAACTGAGCCGATACAACGGACGAGCAATATCCCTGTCTGCAGCTATAATTCTGGCACAGGAGTGCGCGGCAAATGATTGAGCCGTCAGTCAACCAAATCAGCTAACCGATCTATCAGCTTTGACAGGAGGCTGCCAAAACACCAGCCTTCCCTATTCTAATTTGGCAAGCATCCGAGAAGTAATACTCCACCTGACGTCGCACGACCTGGCCAAGCGGCAAGCTGTTGTCAACAAGACTCTCTGTTGCTGGAATTCGGGGGCCGGGTCCGAAGTGGGAGTCTTGCCAGGGCCTACAGGATCCCTGGAGGAAACTCGCCCTTGCTGACAGGGCGCGTGCCAGTTGCACAACTCGCCGGAATCCTTTACCAGAGTACTCTCGCAGATCGTTCATACCCCCTTGACTTCGTTGGACGGCTCAGAATCCCTTTACCGAGCAGGGCAGCACAAATCCACCCTTGTCCCGAAATTGAGCTTCACTTCGCAATGTGCACGAAACACCACACTCTGAGACTCTGAGATGCCTGTGTGCAGATGTTGGTGAGCATCCATGTGCAGCTTGGCGCCGCGCCCGCAGAAACTGTGCCCGCTTCGCTTTGCTGTGCAGGTTGACTTCCTCCGGTTCGGAAGATCCAACACTGTCCAACCCTTATCCAGACTCTACAACTTGCGAGATCAGGTCGCGCAGAAGCTCCATGTCCAGTGGTTGCTGGTGCGATGGTTGTTGGCCCGA